TCAAAAGTTTCCAAAGTTATCTGACTTCCTCATGTATACTTATGCATGCGCATACACATGCCTCCCACACTGAGAGTAAATAAATTAACGAATAAATAATAGTTTAAATGTATTAGAATGTCCTTTCCCCATAGTATATTCTCGGCATTTTCCTGTTTAGCGTATATATATGAATTTATTTGTGCCCCTTCTAATTCTCTGCATTAGTTGGTATGTCTTTTCTTATGCCAGTACTATGCTGTTTCAATTCCTAAAGCTTTGTTTTTGGTTAATAAAGTTTAAAAGGATTTTAGGTGATAAGGGAAAGCAGAGGCTGCAGAGGTGTCTCGTTGTCCCTGCTCTTGGCAGCCCCTTGCCCTCCCAATGGACGCTTCTTTCCAAGTTACTGCTTGAATGACAAAGGCAGGGGGATGGTGAAGACAGCTGAACACAAACTGATCTTTCTGTGCCAAGAACGTCTTAAAACACTGCCCTTAGCAAACCTCAAGACAACAACATAGAGTTCCGGACTGTAGCCGCTGTTGCTACCGACTCTTCCACAGACCTGCGTGTGTTCTCTAGTTGCCTTCCTTCCTATGGCTCTATAGTGTGATTGGAAATCAGGTGTGGCGAGACCCAGTGTCGCATTGTTTTTTGTTTGTTATTTGTTTGTTTTTGTTCAGGACTGCTTTAGAAATTTGGTCTTTTGTGCTTCCATATGAATTTTAAGAATTATTTCTCTATTCCTATGAAGACTATCACTAGAATGTTAATGGGCACTAAAGGGAGTATTTAGATCGTAACTGAATACAGCCTTTAGAGTATTAGATTCTCGTATGCACAGCCTCTGTGAACTGCTGATCTATACCATTCTTCATTTTCTTTCGGGTGAGGTTTCAAGACAGAGTTTCACTATGTAGCCCTGTTTGTCCTGGAACTCACTCTGTGGACCAGGCCTGCCTCGAACTCAGAGATCCACCTGCTCCCTGAGTGCTTAATGTTGAGATTAAAGGAATGCACCACCCCCACCTGGCCTGTATTTTTCTATAAAAATAAACTCATGCGCACGTGCATGTGTGCATGCGCGTGCGCACATACACACACACACACACACACACACAGAAAGAGAGAGAGAGAGAGCGAGAGAGAAGAGAGAGAGAGAAGAGAGAGAGAAACAGAGAGAGAGAGAAACACAGAGAGAGAGAAACAGAGAGACAGAGAGGCACCTTTCTGTGTACAACAGAAGTTAAATACCTGTGGCCAAAAAATACAAACGCTTTATTCTGGACCACGGTAAACAGAGCAGGCACAATTTCATCAACTATCTGGGAGATGTCACTTGCGAACAGTTCTTGGGATCGAGTTTCTCTTCCAGCCAGCCTTACCGAATGCACTGGAAGAGAAAGTCACTTACACACAAAGAGGACTCTGAGACGCTGTAAACAGGTTAACACAGATGGATGAGATGCCATGGCCTTGTAAAAGGCCTTATATTCACATGATGTCAAAGAAGCAGATAATGGTCAAGCACGGCATGGTCGCTCTGAGGTCAAGCTTGGTTCTCACTTGATTGGAGCTGGAGGCCAGTAGGAGACGTGCTTCTGATGGATGTGTGACAGTTTTACCAGGTGGTTTCCCACCTACATTCCTGTTTGAGTTCCTGCCCTAACTTTTCTCAACAATACACTCTATTCCGGAAGTGTAAGCCAAATAAACGCTTTTTACCCCCAAGCTGCTTTTGGTCATGGTCTTTATCAGAGACACAGAAAGAAAACTAAACAGCATCCTTTTCAAATAAATGAGAGTACTTAGAATAAAGTCATTAAAATCCATTCATGTATGAATCACAGCATTTTCTTCTTTCAATAAATGAAGAATTTGAGCTGAGCTTAATTACAGCTGGAGCCAAAAGAAAAGATTAAGAAATTGTGTGTGTGTGTGTGTGTGTGTGTGTGTGTGTGTGTTTTATTTCAAGACAGGTTTTTGTAGTCCTGGATATCCTGGAACTAGCTCTATACCTCGGGCTGGCCTCAAACTCACAGAGATCTATGTGCCTCTGCCTCCCAAGTAGTGGGATTTAAGACGTGCACCAACACTAACCAGAAGGATATAAAATTCTTGAGGGAACAGAGAAAAGTTGGGAAGACACCAACTTTTGCACCAACTTAAAAATAAAGGGCTGAAGAAAGAAAGGGATGGAGCTAAAATTCTATAGTAACATGAAGATATCAAAGCATAAGAAAAATATTGAACCAGCAAGCTAAGTAAACAAGATACCAACGCTTTCTCGAAACTACAGTTCATTGTATCAACACAAGAGGGCACTCGTGAACTAAGAAAACTGAATTAGCAAGGCATCCCCTCATACCCAGCACTACTGCTTAGAAGGAAAAATTCAACACAAGAGCAAACCTAACACCAAATACAAAAAGGGAAGATCAGACTTCTCTGTCCAGTGAAAATATTTATTAAGGAACTCATGGAGGAGAACAAACAATGCTCCCAAGTGAATTAACTCCAATAAGGGATGTAAAAATGATCTTTGTAATTTGGAAATTTAAAATCCTTACTAGAAAGAGACAACTGCACAAAATTGTCAGGGAAAAAAGTTGAATAAGAAGACAAAAGTTAATTTTTCAAAATCGAAAAATAAATCCTTTCCTTGTGATCAGACAGGGCAACGTATCTGTGGATACAGAGAACCGGAATGAAATAACTAGGGAAAGAACAGAAAACAAAGTAGGTTGCCGGGGAGGCTGGAGAGAAGGCAGTTAAGAGTATGGCTGCTCTTCCAGAGAACCTGGGCTTGATTTCCAGCACCCACACTGTGGCTCAAAACCGTCTCTAACTTCAGGCCTGGGAAATCCAATATCAGGCCTCCGGGGGTACCTCACTGACATGGGACAGACACCAATACAAATAAAATAAAAGGAAATCATGACAATAATAGAAGATTGCCAAAAAAAAGGGGGGTAGCAGTTATGGAAGTCAGAAAAATTCATAAGAAATCATGTAAAACATCCTTGAATAGACAGGGAACCCACAATAAAAGAATGTAGGGTCTTCAAGATGGCTCAGAACATAAAAGCCACTTCTGCCTGATGACTTGAGTCTGGCCCCTCACTCCCTCTCCCAGCAGAGACTTCACAGATGCTGGCCTGCATTTTCTGAGATCTTTCAGAGCATGCCTGCTCATATTCATGAGTGCATTCCTTATGTCTCTTACAGAAACATTACAGTTCCATGCCGTAGCTTTAAAGTTGTATTTCTTCACTCAGAACTATTTGACTAGGACTCTGAAGATGCCCAAAAGGCACAAATATCAAATTCAGGAAAGACAGACCTGAATCATGAAATACCCAGATATTTGTAAGAATTTAGTTCTGGTAGGTGGAAGGGAGGAGGAGAAAAAGGGGCATTCCAGACAGGAAGTAGCATGTGTCCAAGCCTGTCAAGTGGGCAAGATGAGGCCAAAATAACAACAACAAGAACAACAACAACAATAATAATAATAAACAACCATGGCTTCCTTTCTAAGTTCTGAAAATCTTAGAGAAATTGTAGTGTCTATATGTCAGATAAACAAAAGTCACATGAGGGGATCAGTTAAGAAATGGTAAGGTTTAGTAAGAAGGTTGATGTTCCCTGCACTGGAGGTGTGTGTGTGTGTGTGTGTGTGTGTGTGTGTGTGTGCACAGGCTCATGCAAGCAGAAGTTAGAGAGAGCAGAGACAGACTGTCAGGTAAATGTGGCCAGTCATTTATCTGACAAGGTTTCCTGAGAACCTTCTATGTGCCAGGCTCTGTCTTAGGCCCTGAGAACTCAGCAGTGAAGAAAGAAGTGTGGCTGAGCCTCATGGAGCTCACATTTTGGGAACAGGAGAAGAGCAGTAGAGGACATGTGGTTCTCAGCCTGCACCACCATCATCCACCAACTGCTGAGCTGCCTCTGAGAGCTGACCCTTGTTGGAGGAGGCTGCTTGGTTACTCGTTCAACCCGGCCACCCAGAACCAAAATAACCATACAGAAACTATATTCATTATATCACTATTTGGACCATTAGCTCTGGCTTCTTATCGGCTAACTCCTACATCTGAATTTAACTCATTTCTATTAATCTGTATAACAGTATGAGGTCATAGTCTACCTGCACAATTTCAGCACGTCTGTCTCTGGCAGGGGATCCATGCCTACCTAAGTTCTGCCCTATCAATAGGCCAAGGCAATTTTCTTTATTCATTAATGGCAATCACAGAGGGGACTCCCACATCAGACCTTCCAGTGGATTTGCTTGAACTGCCTCATGGTGGCTTCTGTAAAAAACAAAACAAAACAAAACAAAAAAACTAACGAAACAACAACAACAACAACAACAACAAAATACCTGTTCCTTCTACACTGTATCATCTAGCAGACACTTCAAAGATTAAAATATATATTCACTGGTGTTTATTCTTTTTGCAACGCAATTGATTTTAGGTTTACACTTTTATACAAGTTCCTTTCCAATGTAAACATCTGTAGCCCACAGTCCTTGTGTTTTGAAGGCCTCTGAATAACAAAAGGGTAAAATCCAGGAATGTTTGGCTAACTTGACACTGTGGGATCAAGATGTCTGTCTGGAGTGCCGCAGATCATTGTGATCCTGGCAGAAGGTTCACTGGTCAAACTCACGTTTTGTGTTAGTCCCTCCAGACAGGAAAAGGATGATCAACCTGAGGCTGTGAAATTCTAACCTGTTTGACCTGCACCTTTATCCAGGCTTTGGCTGATAGTTTGTATTCACGTGGCCACCACACAAAGACATCTGTAACCCGATTTACTGAGTAACCTGTAGCTTAATACTACAGGATACTCTTGTAGCCATCGATCAACCAATCCCAGCAATGATGCTTCAGCCAATCACAGGCTACCATTGAATCACATGGTAGGACCAGCTGCCTGCAGCCAATCAGGCTGCCTGTTTCTGAACTGTTCTCTGCTCTTTGGCGGTTTAACTGCCCGGTCTCTGGTGCTGCAGGATGGAGAAGCGCTCAGCCCTTCTTAATCTGTCTGCTGACAGGTGTCCTGTAAGGATCCCCACCAGCAGAGAACCTGTCTTTGTCCTCTGTGGCGTTTGCTAGGAATTCAGAGGTGCTGGAGCTGCTGAGTCTTGAATGAGAAGCTGAGTTGCCCAGCAGTATAGAAGTCACAGTATCTGGGGCCTCTGACCTCCCCAGAGCTCAGTGTTACACTGTTAACTGTAGCCCAGCCTGAGAGTCTTGCAGCATCTGGCATTGGGAGGAGATGGTGACAGCAGATTTCAAAGCATGGGAGGGGTGGAGGAGGCTGAGGGGACCAGAAAGGGGAGGAGGTTGCTAGGGCAGTGCAGACAGGGAGAGCTGAAGGGGTCCTTGGAATTCTGGCTCTACACCACACCTGTGGACTCCCAGGAAGGTGAAGGCCTCCACATTGTAGGTTAAATGGCCACCACCTCCAGGTTCCTGGCTCCCCCTCCCCATAGCCATAAAGGTTGAATTTCTCTCTGATTTCAGAGTCCATGCAACCTGCTCTGTTGCAGACACTTGTTCTCACTGGAGAAGAATAAAGAAGTGGTTGACATGCGTGGTCCTATGCACACATTTTCAGCCTTCCAGGCAGGTGAGTCCACAGCAATCAACACTTTGTATTTCTTTCAGTGCCATTGTCATTCATTTACCTTATTGAGCGCTTAATTATCAATGAGGGTTTGTGTGGCTTGGCTTTGCCTAACTGCAGTTAGTTGAAGCAAGTGTTCTGAACACAAGCTCGTCAGGCCTGAGCTGTGATCTTGATAGGTCTGATCATTCCATTTCAAAATCAGGAAATTCATACCTGGATGGGGTTTTGGCATGTGACCCCGTCTTGAGTTGAGGACCATCTGTATATGGTTTCAAGATTTCAAAGAAACAATCTGAGGAAGTAGGTAGGACTCTAGAGTCAGGGCTTCTCTCCTTCCCTATCTTCCCCTCCTCCTCTAATCCCACACATCTCAAAGGAGGAATTTCAATCTCTGGATGATTATATGGTGGACAGTTTGAAACTGGGATGATTAAATGAGAGTAGAACTATGTTAGATGGGATTTACTTAATGTCAGTCATAAATATCTGCTTTAGTGATGTAAATATCACTAAAAATATTGGTAAATCTGAGTCCTAAGAAGTTTTAGGAAAACTTAATAAAACATATCACAGAGAGAGTCAAATCCAGACAGAGGAATTTGATGGAGAAACAAGTTCAGTATTGCCGTATAAGAACAGAGAGGAAGAGAGCATAAGGGTTTCAAACAGCCAACTTTAATTTATCCAGTCATCTTACAGGAACAATTGCCAAATGATAGATTTCCCCAAGGCTATGCAAGAGTTAAATGGACTCTTGTGAAAATGTTAGATTTAAGAAGGTTCAAGGAAGCAATAGTCTCATATAGCATGCATTCACCTTTTGTGAAACAGGTGTTAAACTCATGGTCAGTTTATAAGAGAATTCTCCCTAAAGACAGCATAGACTTGATTAAAGCTTTCTCAGGGCCTGGCCAACAATTGCAATGATGTTCCTGATTCTGAGAAGAGGCTTAGACCATTGAAGAACAAAATAGGGTTAGAGGTATGGAAATCTCCCAAGATCAACTTCCTAGAGAGGGAGTTTATGATGATGCACCATGGCATTCTCTATATGATGACCATGCCATGGATTTTTGCCATGCAGCAGCTTTGAATGCTTGGGGCAGAATTGGAGAAACAGGAAAAAAAATGAGTCATCTACTAAAATCATGCAGGCCAAAGGAAGGCGTCACAGATTTCTTCCAACGACCAAATATATCAGTAAATAGAATGATATGAAATTCAGAAGCTATACAAATAATAATTGAATATATGGCTTTTGAAAATGCTACTTCTCAATTAAAATGATAATTAGGCCCATTTAATTTTTATTTTATTTTTTTAAAAAAGGAAAAAATTATCTTTTTCCATTTTATTACCAATCCCAGTTTCCACTTCCTTCACTCCTCCCATTCCCTCCACCTTCCCCCCATAGTCCCCCATCTCCCCATCTACTCCTCAAAGAGGGTAAGGCACATTGCTTTGTGGAAAGTCCAAGGGCCTCCCCACTATATCCAGACTGAGCAAGGTTCCATCCAATGAGAATGAGTTCCCCAAAGCCAGTGCATGGAGTAGGGATAAATCCTGGTGCCACTGCCAGTGGCCCTGCAGTCTGCTCCAGCCATCCAACAGCCAACCACAGTCAGAGGCTCTAGCTTGGTCCTATGCTGATTCCTTCCCTGTCCAGCTGGAGTTGGTGAGTTCTCATCAGCTCGGGTTAAACTGTTTCAGTGGGTGTCCCCATCGTGGTCTTGACCTCTTTGCTCATATTCTCACTCCCCTCACTCTTCCATTGGGCTTTGGGAGCTCAGCCCAATGTTCTGCTGTGGGTCTCTGCCTCTGTTTCATTCCGGTGCTAGATGAAGGTTCTATGGTGACAATTAAGATATTCATCAGTCTGAATACAGGGAAAGGCTGGTTTGTCCACCCTCTCCTCTATTGCCTTGGGTCTTAGCTAGGGCCATCCTTGTTAATTCTGTGAATTTAGAGTCAGGTTTCTTGCTAGCCCTCATAGTGCTCCCTCAATTAAAATATCTCTTTCCATGCTCTCATCTCAAATATCCCATTCCCTCAAGTTCTCCTCCCCTTCCACCCTCCCTTCTTCCCTCATCCCCATGCTCCCAATTTTGTCATGGTCACTGCCCCAGCTCCAAGGACACAGTGGATCTATGTCACCATGAGGAGTTTATAGCACACTGTTTACAGAGCCTATTTAAGTTCAAGACCCCCAGCAAGAGCCAGAGTTTCATGCAATCAGCACAAACCTGGAAGCCGACTCTTAAAGAAGCTGGTCAGTTTTGCTGCTAAGGCTGAGTCTGGAAGCCTTCTCTTAAAGAAGACGTGCCTCTGCTCATGGCCAGCAAACAGAGCCTACCTGAGAAAATGCTGCTACCAATAAGCCGTCCTTAACACTGCTCTTTCGTCTCTTAACTCTGTTCTTTTGTGTCTCAGATTCCTTCCCAAGTTCTCTCAGGTTTTATGTGGATGTAATTGGCCTATGTTTGCACCATTATTTAACTGGACACTGATAGTTAGTTCATTTCCCAGCCCTCAGATCTGAAATAATCACAAAGAAAGTATATTAATTACAAAACTGATTGGTCAATGTCTCAAGCTTATTTCTAGTTATCTCTTATATTTTAACATTACTCATTCCTAACTTCTGGCCTTTCCTGCCTTAGCTCTAACCTTTGTATTTCTACCTTCACCTTATGCTCATTGTACCCATAGTCAGATGGGTACTGTATACACAATGTACCAGAAGAAATCACAAATGACCATGGGTCTCTGCACCTGCCACGTCATGAAAAGTTGTCAGTGACATGCAGGCCACCATTCTGAGATTGAAGGCAGACATAGGATAGAGTAACATGGCTTTGATATCCAGGCCGAGCTGGGAGGGCCTGGAAAACTCAGCTGGTTGCCCATCTCCAATTAGTTGAGTAGGAAGCCCCTAGGGTCCCTAGGTCCTTTATTCTTCGTCATGATATCCAGAGGCCATGATTCATCTGCTGTGAACTCAAGGATGCCACACTACTGTCCTGATGACTGTGCCTACTTTGTGACTTGGGTAGACACTGGGCTGGCTCTCTGGTGCCTCTGTACACAGCTACACAAAGATCAGGTGAGAGCAGATCAGGAGAAAGACAAGGTTAGATGACGTTTAGGCTGGGGTCTTACGTGGTTGACTTAGCACTCTCTCCAGTCCTAAAAATTTGTTTGTTTTGGTCCTGTAGGGTTGACTCAGCCCAAACACCACCCTCAGAAGGAAATCTAAAGACTTTTGTTTCCTTTGTTACAGTATAATTGGCACTAACTACAATGACGGAACTAGGAGATGGTGAGACCTCAAACGCCACTATCACCTCTTTGTCGATTCATATCCTCTCCAGAAACAGTACTCCAAGGTGGACCAGATACAGACCTTTCCCTGTGGCCTTGCACTGCAGACAGGACCTCAAGATAAATCATACACAGAGAAAGTAATGCCTAAAGGTTTCCTTGCTTTCAGATGGGGTCGCATTTGCTTTTCCAGATAGGCAGTGCCTCAGACAAATGGACAGGGATGCCTGGGACACATAGTGCCTGTACCCTGTGCTGATAATCGCTGGCTCAGGACACAGGATCTCTGCATATAGTACGACCCATGGCTTCCATTTGTCTTTGGCTGCTTGACCATGTACTTTAGGATTGGAGTGATGAACACAGCTAGTATTTGAATGTTTTGTGTTTTTGGGAATCCTGTGGTGGCAGACATGCCAACACACTCTGTCTTGGGCTGGTTCATTGTATAGAGTTTTCTTTGCAGGAGCACATCTATGGATAATCCCCAATTTCTCTACTGAAGTCTATCCTACAGAGCTCGTGAGGTCCTGTTCTTAGCGACCTGTTGGGTCATGAAGAGTCTGCTCAGGACTGACCCTTGGTTTTGTGTCTTGGATGATAAGCCGTTGAGCTGTTGTGCAGAGTTCTCTTGCACTTTAACTTTGGAGGTCAAAATGAAAATACAAATCTTTTTATGCTGTGCCCAACGGTCTTTTGATAGTCATGTGACCTCTCAGTTTGTCCAGGACTTGTCCCTGCCCTTCTGCCTGGGACTTCCAGGCCCCTCTATTTTACTGTTTGCATTAAGCACATGGCTATGTCATGCTCCTGGGGTTTTGAAATCTTGGGGACGATCCCTTCTCTAGAGAGGAAAGGATTCCTGTCCTGGGAGCCTGACTTGGTTGTAGCAGGCACAGTCGTGAAGCCTGACTGAGAGGCTCTGAAGGCGAGGATATCTGCAGCAGATACCTCAGGGGCACAGTCTTGAAAGGACTTCCCAGTGGCACAGTCCTGAAGGACAACGCCAGCGGCCGAGCAGTGAGTTGTGCTCAGGCCCGAGTCTTCTGGATCCTGGGGAAAATTCTCCAGCAATTCACTGTTTTGAGACTTACCCTCATCTCTGCAGATTCCGTGGGGAGTGCTCACTCACAGGACTCTTCCTCTTCTGTGCCCTACAGCCCCTGCTATCCCTGGTGCTTGATGCCTGGGATGTCACACTGATCTCCCGAACTGAAACTTCTTTGTTCATTCTCCTAAAGCCACATCCTCACTGTCCTGTGACTCACAGACATGGCTTGACTAGGGTATATTTGCCTCTGGATGGTCTGTGCAAAATCCAAGAACCATATCACTGTTCCAGGCTCTGCACACGATGCTCTGTGAGGTGGACACTAAAGTCGTACTCTACTCATGGTTAGTTCTGTTTCATTACCTTAAATGAGGAAAAGCATTTGCTTTTTTAGATCATACCATTATGCAGTGCCTATGACAATGGACAGGGAAGCCTGGGGCCCGTGGTGCCAGTGCCCTGCGCTGAGAGTGGCTGTCTACGGACCCAGTTTCTCTGCACATAGGTTGACCATAGCACTTCCATTTGTCTGGGAAAGGTTGACTGTACCTTTAGGATTGGCCTGGGAACAATCGCTAGTGTTTGTTTGTTTTATGTTTTTCTGTCATCGGAGGTCATGGGGTCATGT